TAAACCCACATTTTTCAATCATGGTTTCAATTGTTACTAACTAAACCACTGTTTTTTATTAATTTATTTGGTGCGTGAATGGGTGGAAGAACATGTTTCCCTTGTGCGCCTTTCTGTACACCATGGTGTAGATTCTAATGTTATTGTTGGTGGAGGAGGAGTTCCTGAAATGATAGAATATTAGAAAATGCCAAGGAAAATGATCATTTTACTTTTTTGGTTTTTTATTAACAATGTTATGATGTCGATACAGACTGACAGTTTGAAACGTGCATTACACACACAATCATAAAAAAGATTTTTAAAAATTTGTGCTGGTTTGATTTAAATGGGCTTCTTTATTGATTTGAAACTTCATTATGAACTGAAACAAATCGAAATTTCGTATTAAATAATAATTATTGGTTTACGCCTCAGTGTTTTTTCTGCATGTTGTTAAGATCAATCGAGCGATTTGGAATTACGAGGTTAAATGGTTTGAAAGCTATTTGTCTGACAGAACTCAACGGACTGTTTTTAATGATTCTGTTTCCAGTCCCGTGGGGTGCCCCAGGGAAGTGTATTAGGGCCCCTGTTATTTATTATGTATATTAATGACTTGCGACGTGTTTTACGATTATGCGACATTAATCTTTTTGCAGATGATACTGTGTTATTCGTTGCGTTCTCTAAGTAGATGGTTGAAGCAGTTGAAATTGAATACAAGTAAAACTTAAATTTATGGTAATTTCGCGGAATCGAGTAAATGAGAACGTCTCTGTTGTAATTGATGATGAGACTATTGATCGCGTTCGGAACATTAAATATCTTGGCGTGATTATTGATGACACACTTAAGTCCAACTCTTACATTGACAATGTCATCAAGAAAATTACCAAGAAGTATGGAATTCTATGTCGACTGAAAAACGATTTAACTATTGCCAGTAAAATACAGCTATACAAATCAATCGTCTTTCCTCATCTAGACTTTTGCCCTTCCATTTTATTTCTGGCGAATCAAACACAAATATCGAGATTACAGCGCTTGCAGAGTAAAATAATGCGTTTGATTTTGAGATGTAATAGATTCACTTCCTCAACTTTGATGCTAGACGCCTTACAATGGTTGTCGGTGAAGCAAAGAATTGTATATTTGACTATGGTGTTCATTTTTAAAGTAGTTAACGGTTTGCTGCCTCGATATTTGTGTGATCGAATTGAAAGAGGAAGTGACTTTCATAGATATAATACTAGAAACGCGGTTGAAATACGAATACCACATTTCTTGACTTGTGCTTCACAGAATTCATTATTTTTTAAAGGAATAAATGTTTTCAATTCGATGCCTAGACATATCAAACGTTCAGCAACACTTACAGAATTTAAAAGATCCTGCATTTCTCACGTTCAAACCGTCTTTTGAACAGTTATCCAGTGATTTTTTTTATGAATTGTCAAATTATGTATCTTGGCGAAGTTATCTCTAACAGATTATTTTGTATGGATAGCTGTCATAATTATTTTTTTTTAATAATTATTGTAGCACTGCAAAAACTATTTTTGTTCGCCACGATGGTGATAATGGATTTTTAATATTTGATTTAATAGTAGTAGATTAATTAAAAAAAAAGGTTTGAACATCGCGCGTATTACGGATATAGAGGACTGAATTTAACATATGATATAATGAGAGAGAGAGAGAAGGATTAGTAATTTCCATTTAATTCCACTGCCTTATTTGCTTATCCTTGACAGATACGCGTATTTCGTCTACAATGTGCAGACTTCTTCAGTGTCTTGTACTAAGTCGAGTATTAGTACAAGACACTGAAGAAGTCTGCACATTGTACACGAAATACGGGTATCTCTCAAGGATAAGCAAATAAGGTAGTGGAATTAAATGGAAATTACTAATCCTTTTCTCTCTTATTATACAGGTATTCCACTAAGACGCCCACATTCATCATGATTTAACATTTGAAAAAAAAAATGCAATTTTGAAGCTTATTTGAAAGATACCTTGAGGAGTTAGCTGTAAGTTTTCTGGCAAATGTTGGGGGTTCGTGAGCATTCCTGACATTGCTGAACATTATGATAGCATCAGATTGCGGGGTTGCTAGTGTAATAGGATGCTTTGTTGATTGTTCATTAACTCTTGATCTCTTGTAATACATATGAATATTTTAGGTGGACAAAAAGGCGAACATTTATATCGCGGAGAAGCAACTGTAAACTCTAGAGGGAATTTATATATGTGACTGTAACCAGTTCGATTTTGTTAGTTATCATTATCTTAATGATAATTGATCATTTTGTCAAGCTTCTGAATTCATGTTCCATCAGATGTCACAGCTGTTGTTTGCGGTGACATCGATCGGAAACTAGACACAATCTGTTTTCCTATAATTGTTCACAGAGGACACTGCAGTGCAAAACATGTCTGGTACCTCTATATATGCATTTAGATTATTATTCGAAGTCCCTCCTTTTTTACACATTCTGCACACAAAATTGGAAGATTGCCGTAAAAGCTCAATGTAGATGTCGCCACTGCATGATGATGATAAGGTTGACAGACTGCATATAAAATTCGTGAAAATTAGCATTAAATCCTAATTTTCATCAAGCCTGCGTAAAATCCTTCCATTATAACATTCGAAGTGAAAACGTTCAGACTGATGTGTATCTTTGACTTTTCCAGATGAACTTTCATAAGATTTATTCATTTAATTTCACGGCTCCATCAACGCTGCATTGTAAATATAATGTAAACAGAAGTAAATTGCTCAATTACTCAAAATAAAGATGATTTGTCATCTTCTTATCACTTTGAAGACCATCTAGCACCATTTTATAGCATGGTGTGTGTTGAGTAAATCAAGTTCTGTTGCGTTTTCCGTCGAAAATTGTGAGTATCAATATGTTTGCCTAAAAAGGCCAAAGTGAACATTCATTGAATATTGGCGCCCTATACAACCATTTCTCCACTATCACCAGCATGATACAATCTTTCCTAAGTAAATTCACTTAATTTCCACTTTCATCTTAGTGGAAATCGTACATATTTACCATTTTCCGAAAAATGCAGCTGCGCAGGAGGTAACCTCTTCCTGTGGGTGCAAACTTGTTATGCATAATTTTCCATGAAAACATACCGCCATACCGAAATAATAACAGTTAGTTTGTAAACACGTTTTCTTACACGATTCAAGCAAAAGTTTCCACGGGAAATTATTAGTTTTTCTGTATGAACCGATTTGCCCCAAAAACATTTGTTTTACTTGGAGAATTTGGAAAGTATCCTCCTTCTAGTAGTTCTCACTTCGAAATGTAGATGGCGAAAGCTTGGAAAAGTTTCACTGCAAGACGCCAATAGCTCACCCCTCACAGAATTTCCCGTCGAATTTTATGTATGGGGTGGGGCAGAAAGTATCTTTTGCGCAGAATATGTAAAAAAGGAGGGACTTCAAATGTTAAAGGAAATGCATATTTAGAGGTACCAGACATGTTTTGTAGTGTAATCTGTGAAAGGGAAATCACAAATCGAGTGTCAACAAAATACATGGCATGCTGAGAGATTGAGGTCGTGAGAGCAAATTTTCTCTCTCAAATTTGAATTTTTTGGCTCTCTGGGAGCTGGTAGTAAATCAGGTAAAACTGTATGGGGAAAAATAATCTTTATTTAACAGTAGTTTGTTTAACAATAACTGAATGACAAAGTCCTTGATTAATTTCTTTAGGTTGTCGTTCACTTTTTTTTACCTGAATATGCACCGAAAGCGAATTATTCCCACTTTTCTCAATTTCTATATTGGGATTTTTATCACTTCCTACCAGCGGAACAGCGCCATCTCTGTGGAAAATGGTCGAACAAAATGATTAATTCGTCCAGCTCAAACCTTTGTAGGGGTAATAGGTGGGACCATCATCATCAATCATTAATTAATAACCCATTGTCTCTAGTACAGTGATTACCCGGTTTTATCAGCCCCTCCCCTTCAGACTTTATCGTTCAATAATTTCACATAGCCGGAATTCCAAATATTTCTCATTAATCTTCAAGATGGATGTTTAAGGTATGCTATGGTGCAATGCTACCCCTGAATGTTAGTTAATGATTTTTTTTTAAATCAACGGTACATCCCATGAAATTTGCAACAGTGGAAAGACCTCATCAATATCTACCTGTAGAACAAATTTCATAGCGATCTGACGCTTGGTGTTGGAGATTCCCCCTTATTACCTTTGTTATTACCGTAACATAGGTATTACAATCGGATTTTACACGTCTTACTGTATGTGACCGATAGCCATCCACACAAGCTATCTCACCTGTATAAAACATTCCCAATCGATAGATCTCTGCTCAATCTGGCTCGACAGTTTGATTACGTCATCGTATAATCAAATTGGCAAGATGAAATTTACTGATGTCACATTAGAAAAGATAATCATAAAGGGGACCGACAAAATCAGGTCATTACTGTAACTCATTAGATCTAATCGCATTTATGATCCATTAAAAATAATATTGGCTGATTCCGAATCGAATGAATCGATATCAATCGTATCTGAAAATAACGGAAATCGATCATGTGTTTGGTTCGTTCGTATATACATGTCGCTTTTGTCAAAGAAGAACAATTTTCTTGTTCTTAATGGACAATGGGAAATTGTGTGATAAATAAATTTAACTATGCCGATCGAGCTAGATTAAGTTTGTATAGGGGAAAATAACGGCTTCGGCATGACATACTATTTTCGGCAACCCAAATTGAAACACTATTTTCACTGGATTTTCTTACGAAAACACTTCGCTGAATGCATGCAAACGATTCTTTATGCTTTCAGCTTCAATTTGACTGTATTTTTACCACTGAGAAAAAGCAATCTAGCAAGGTTTTCTTGAAATGCAACACACGCACTACAAATTGTAGCTGATTTCGAGTTGCGGATAATAGAACAGCAGATTTACATGCAGTTTAAATGGAACGGTTGCCGAAGAAAAACTGGTTGCCGACAATACTCGCTCTCACTAGAGAAGATTGGAGTTTTGTAAAAGCGTTTCAAAACAGTTTTTGACAATTCTTTCGACTGAAATTGTTAGAGCAGCTGGCAGCAAAAGATTGTAAACAAACCAATACTGCATATGTGGGCGTTCCTTAGAGAAAAAGGCTATAGAAAGAAGGTCGCTGCTTAGGTTGCCGAGAATACTTAAATTCCCCTACCTAACTTATGTATGCCTAACACCCTTTGAAATGTTTCAAAGGTAAGGAAAAGCTGTGATTTCATAAATCTATCTGTGTTATTGAATTGGAATATTTTAGATGCCTCTATGACATTACCCCAAATTCTGATGAATGTTAGCGTCTATAGACGGCATAGTATGGGATGGTCCGAGAATATGAAAATGTTTGCTGAGCTTTCGGGAAAGTCTTACAGGTTTGTCAAAGCTCCTAAACTTCAGTTTGAAATCACACTTAAATCAATTTAAATCACAACATTTTCAGTAAATACCAATTTAACCCCAAACATCAAGTCAATTTGATGAAGAGAAAATAAATGACAACATACAACAAATGCATGACACCAACATAGCAAAAAATCACCAACTAAAGCTAATCCCAACGTGACAAATGAACAATTAGCATAATCGCTCTTTGACCGGTTAGCCACAAAACCGCATCGTCTCTTGTTCTTGTCGTCATGGTGGTGGTGGTGTGGTTGCCGTACGACGGTAATACGGTAGTGGGAAGCGGGACAAAAATGGCTCCGTTCCAAAACTGGTGCTAGACCTAGAGGCTTTGCATAAATACCAATGTGGGTATAATCCATCGTTCACGCCTTCTTCACGGCTGTTTATATCGATAAGTAGGCATTGTTTGTACGTTCTTTGTATGCCCTTGAAATTGTGTTGAACTATCGCATGGTGCAACTTGACTCTACCATTTTAGAAGAATTTGGTAATTTTCAACAAGAACAGGTGAATAAATTGACAAATCGCTTACCAAGATGAATGAATCCCAATTTCGCAATTTACCTGAAACGAAAGAAATAACAAACGAGAAAGTAGGTTAGTACCATCATCGACATACAAACAAACAACTACAGAGCGAAAATTCTTTTGTGCTAAAAAAAAAATCTTCATCGGGTGAAAAGAAATATTCTTCCTGCATCCACCCACACCTAGCATAGCAAAAGGAAAACTAATTTCAACTACAGCAACCTTCAAAAGTTTACCCCTCCCGGGGGAGATAACACTAGAAGCGCTCGGTAGCAAGGCATCAATATTTAAACATCTTTTAGCTCTCTGTGTATCATCATCGGCGGAGAGGATGAAAATGGACACTGAGTTCAGGAAAAAAGCTGAATACAACATGTCTACAAGCAGACATTCCTTTTTGTTGCCAAAGCAAATAGAAACGATCGGAGAAAAGAATGAAAAGTAGCATCCTTATAACGGTGTTTTGCTAACCGGCAAGCGTTGAGGTATTCGGTGTCCCTTTTTAGGTGGGCTTGATCCTTGGAATGCTGATGTTTGGCAAATAGCATCGAGCAAAAAAAAATCCGAGCAGCTGGGACTTGCAAGAACAATTTGGTTGATTAAGAATTTAAGCAATGATCCAAAAGGAGTAGAATTCATTCGTGTACAGATAGTCAGTTATTTTGGACTTATCCATGTGTACATTTTATATCCCAGTGATGCTACCTTAAAAAAATACATACAATTTAAACCTTCATTCAAACAGAAGCTCACAGTGCACCGTCCCGTCGTTGCCATGTTGCAGGAAAATCATAATTAAACTCCCCATATGTCTGGGTGCACTTTTCGAATAACCCACTGCAGTCGAGTCGAGTAAATTGGATAGACTGCCGCGCGACCTCATCCACACCGTAGTTCATCATGATGGCTTCAAAAATATGCCCTCATCTTCGATACTACCGTCCGTGGCCGTACGGTGGGTGACATCGAAACTCACACACACGTAAAAAAAAAAACGGCAAGCTTTTTCCGCTCTGTTTTGACTGGATTACACGATGGGGAATTGCGCTCAGCTGGCGATGCAGTAGTCAGTCGTCACATTCTCACTGTCACTCCAGCGCTTGAACTACTGATGATGATATTCTAGACCAACATTTGAAAAGGGTGGAACAACCAAACGTAAGCCAAGGCACACCCACGCAAACTAACAATGCCATTCGATAGAGGAAGTTTGCTCTATCAGATGCTGGTGTTAGATTGCGTGGATGTGTTTTTACGTTTGGTTGTTCCGCCCATTTCAATTGTTGGTCTGTATATGCTCCGATTCGAGGTTGTCGGGCTCCGGGGTGTGAGAGATGGATATTTTTTGACTTTCCATATGAATGCCGTTCGCCGTCGCGTGTTTCGCGGCAAAGCTCCTGCTCACCAAATAGTCGCGCGAACTTGGCAGGGTTCATTTCCGTGATCGTTGTCACCGTGCCGTTATGGCAGTTTTTTCACTTTTAAACAGTGAATATTCATAAAAGGTGACTGCTGGCAGGTGGAGCGCATCATTCTTTACATGAGGGTGCATCATCGTTTGACCAAAACGCAGCGCCCAAGGATTTAATTTACCTTCTAACGATAAGGGGCTGTTAACAACTGTCTACGTTGAGCTTTAGAGAGATTCTCAGCCCCGCCCCCCTAAGTAGACGTTCAGACACAAAATATTTGCATGGACTGCAGTAGGGTCGTCTTAACCACCTTTGGAGGGCCTGATCTATTTTTATTGCGAGCCCCCTATGATTTGATATCAATTTTCAAATTCTAGCACTGTGACACATGAAATGAAAATAGGTACTTGCGACCATCCCTTCTAGTGTAAATTAATTTGGAACTACCCTACTTTTATTTTACCACACATCTAAAATCTTAATCTCATACATGCGAATTTGTTAATAGAAGGGTTGATATAATTTTTTATCAATATTTCGAACTTGATAGCAATTTTGGTTTTATCACCGTAACGCCTCAAAAACGCAGGATGATGCAGTACTACTCTACTACCGGATTGTCGGTGGCATAAATACAACTGTAGCTGAGTACAAACTGGCTTGTTTGGATGCTTGCTACGACATTTACGCCTTTACGGAAACATAGTTAAACAACAACACGCTCTCTAGAAAAATATTTGGTTTGGACTGATCGTTCTCAAGAAACGAGCCCCAAAAATTCTGGTGGTGGAGTTCTACTTGCTGTTCGATCAGTCTTTCAATCTCGGCAGCTCAATCCACCTAGGTGTACTGGTGTCGAACAACTGTGGGTGTCCATCTCTCTACAATCGAAAGCAGTTTTCGTCTGTGTGCTGTATCTGCCCCCGGACCGCCTTGGAGATTCCGAGTTGATTGATCAACACTTAAACTCTCTCTTTTGGATCATATCCAAGATGAATGCAAATGACGACATCCTCGTAATTGGTGATTTCAATCTATCGTCTATCAAAATGGTCCTGGAATTACGCCGGGTTCCTCCATCCTCAATCCAGTTGCTCAAACATTGCACCCTTGGTAGCAGCTCTTCTGGACAGCTACAGTACTGCTGATCTCCTGCAACTAAATAGTGTTTCCAATGAGAATGCTAGATTGCTTGATGTATGTTTTCTTCGCCTTGAGGTTATTTCTAGTTGCTCGATTTATGAGGCGCCTGTGTCACTAGTTAAGCGTTGTAGACATCATCCACCTCTGCAGATATCATTGAAATAGAGCCAGCCATTGTCTTTTCGTAACACTATGGATAGCATTTCATATGACTACTGGAAGGCTTACTTCGATTGAATGACTGCCTTTTTCGAGAGCATAAACTGGGATGAAGAACTGCGTGATCATGATGTAAATATTTCCTCGACTATTTTTACGAATATTGTTGTTTATGCAATCGATCAGTTCGTACCGAAGAAAACTACAGTCATACCAACTCACCCTCCATGGTCAAACCCTCTTTGAAACGTCTTAAATCATCTAAACGGGCTGCCTTGAAAAAGATTTGCGAACTGCGAACTGACGTGTCGAGAATGAAATACATACGCAATAACAAGCAGTACAAGCAGCTCAACAAGAAACTCTACCTAGAACACCAGCGTCAATTACAATATAAACTCAAAACTAATCCTAAAAGCTTCTGGAATCACGTGAAAGATCAACGAAATGAATCGGGTCTGCCCTCCACGATGTTCAAAGCGGATCGAGAAATGTCTAATGTGGTTGGTATCGCGGATCTATTCAGGTCACATTTCTGCAGTGTATTCGTCAACGAGGAGCTCTCTGACGAACACGTTTCAGATGCAGCAAGTGAGGTTCCCATACGTTCAGCTGTTGTGTTGAATCTCATCCACCTTTATCGAGAGATGACGTCCCAAGAGCAGGCATTTGCTTAAAAAAAATCTTCCAGTATTGGCCCTGATGGAATTTCATCTGTGGTGATTAAAAACTGTATAGGAGTCTTGAGCGCACCACTAGCATTCCTATTCAACTTCTCGTTGAATTCTGGAATCTTCCCTGATGGCTGGATGAATTCTGTCGTTTTTCCTGTCTTGAGGAAAGGAGATAAACAGTCAGTAATCAACTATCGAGGCATTGCGGCTTTGTGCGCAGTTTCAAAACTTTTTGAGCTGATAGTTTTGGATTATTTTAAGCACACTAGCTCCAGCTACGTTGCCTCAGAACAACATGGATTAATGCAGAAGAGGTTCACTGCATCAAATCTCGTGCAATACACATCTTTTATAATTCGCGAGCATGAAAAAGGCGAATAAGTTGATGCTATCTACAAGGATCTCTCTGCTGCGTTTGATAAAATAAACCACAAGATTGCTGTTTTTAAATTAGGGCGATTAGGCTTCCATGGTCCCGTTCTTAATTGGCTTCGTTCTTACCTCACCGGTCGTCAAATGTCAGTGAAAATAGGTGACCGTATTTCTCAGTCGTTTCCAGTTTCTTCTGGTGTACCCCAAGAATGGGCCGTTTGTATTTCTGCTGTATTTGAATGACATTCACTATTCAATCAGGTGTCTGAAGTTATCTAATGCGGATGATTTTAAACAGTAATTTGTCGTAAAGGTTCGTAGTGATTCAGTTTTCCTTCAACAACAGTTGGACGTTTTTGCTAATTGATGTCAGAAGAATAGGATGGTATTTACCAAATCAAGATAAACATTTCAAAAGATCCTATCTGCATTCATCGATTCTCTTCATCTCTTTCGTTAA